GTATTTCTCACCTTAGCCTTGCATTGTCACCCACCTATTTTAATGCTCATTTTGGAGATGTGCATAAAACGATTGATGGAAACGTCATGATACACTCTACTTTTGAAAATATGCATAAAAACACACACACATAATTGAGCAGGATAAACTTTTATTCGATAGGAAATATGCGCATAAACTATGATGGAAACACTTTTACCGAACAAATTACAGTATGTACATTAAAAAAAAGGTCTTCATATGATGATGAAAATGTGTATGAATGGACAAACCAGCAGGCTGAGCACACTAACACATCTTAAATGTTGTTTTAGTCATTCTAAAATGCCTTAACTGTTTCAGTATTAGTGTATATAATTAGGCTACCTCCGAGCATCTAGAGCGTGTCAAGATTCTCCGCGTATAGAGGTAAAGTTGGTTTTATATTCACACATTTGCTCATTTAGAAGTCTCTATATTGTTTACCACAGGGGTGTCCAAACTCGGTCCTGTAGGGCCGGTGTCCTGGAGAGTTTACTTCCAACTGGCTTCAACACACACCTGCCAGGAAGTCTCTAGCTATAGGCTGTTTCTCAATTCCAAGAACGCAGAGAACGGACTTGCGTTCTTGTGGAGACCGGTCTTGCCAGGTGTCCTCGGAAGAACGAACTCAGGAGACCGCGAGGGCAGAGAACGCGTCCTTTGAGAAATGGGATGCTGTTCTTCTTGATGGTCACATGACCTTCACGCGTTTTAAATGGAAATTATTTAAACATTACAGCACTCATACAATGATTTATTGTTTCCCCCATCTTCAAAATATATACTTTGCATAAAACATTATAAATATACTCTGCACAATATAAATAAAACAAATTTTAATATGAATTTCAGCAAACAAACAACCCTTAATGTTTTTATTCCTTTATTAAGATGTTCATGTTAATGTTTACTTTCACTGTTTCATTTAGGGAAACTCCTGAGGTAAATAAATTATATCTCTGAACTTTAATAATAAATCTAAATAAAATGCTGCGCTTCCCACCTCTAGTCGCAATGACTTCTGGGACTTCCAGAGCGAGTTCGGTGCTCAAGTCTGCATCGGTGCGTCCTCGATATCAAGATCACATCCGGAATGTTTCACGCGTCCTCCGTACTTGCGGTCTTGAGTATTGGAACTGAACTTAGGCAGCTAATGATGACGTTGCACGAGAACACGAGGACGCAAGACCGCAGAAGAAGGCATATTGAGAAACAGCCATAGTTTCTAGTATAGCTTGATTAGCTTGTTCAGGTGTGTTTGATTGGGGTTGGAGCTAAACTCTCCAGGACACCGGCCCTCCAGGAATGAGTTTGGACACCCCTGGTTTACCATGTTACTTTGAATATTCGATCAGAATTAGCCTGCCAGTATGACTTGAAATCAACATTAACACTGTTTATTTGACCATGAGAAATGTTGTACTTTGATAGTCATTGACTGCTAATATGATTTCACTATTTAGAGTTTGCAAATAATACTTTTATGAAATTATATTATTAAATGGAAAGTCTGAATGTGCAAATATAAAACCAACTTTACCTCTATTCTCCGCGTCTCATGGCTTTAAACGCCCCCACATGTTGTCTTCTGAGGCGCAAGTACATTTATTAAATAAATAATTGACGCAGCTTCTTCTACCACGGTAAATTCTGTTTTTACTGACGATATTTGGCGCCAGTTAATCAGCAAGTGACGATTTTGTTCTCTTTGACTCGTTGGATGGCAACGCTGCTTTATTCGCATCTTTATACAATATTCCAGTTTTGCACATAAGTTTATGTAATATACTTGGATGGAAACATAGATATTGCCAACCTTTTAGTCGCACACAGAACAATAAATAATTAGCTTTAATTTATTGACCTTAGACATGTACTGTAACTAGATTAATGGTTTTATTATTCTTTCTAAAAATTATTTTTAGTTCTGCTTACCTTCTAAATGTTATATCAAACTCTCTCACTTGATCAAGAAAAAAAAGGGCAGACACACAAGTGCACTGTTAAATCTATTAAAACTAATAAACAAGTATAAAAGTTTAGAAAAAATGTATAAACATCACAAATTACATTACTTATTTTATTATACTTAAATATATAAATATTTTAAATGTAAAATTACGCATTTACTTGGGCAGCTGTTTTCCCAGACGAACTGTCTCTGTTTCACTGATGGTTGCTTCTTTTTAAATATATACACTCATATATTCTATAACATTGCATAATCATATCAAGTTCAGCTGGAGAAAGAAATGGTGATCTCTTTTTTTTAAGATGTTGCCATGGTCACTCGTAATATCTGCGCTCCATTGACAATGCCTTTTTATAATCACGGTGTGCATGCTTAACTCTGAGTTGGTCTACTCAAAGTTGATTGACCTAACTCAGATCAGCTATTCTGAAACCAAAAAACTCTGAGTTTTTAATCTCTCGGTAAATCAACTCAGAGTTCAAGTTTAAACTCTGAGTTGTTTGAACCTCCTTAAGCCTGATTTATACTTCTGCGTCAAGTGACCGGCGTAACCCACGGCGCATGCAATGCCTCTGTTGGTCTGCATTAACACTTCCAAAATGCTAGTTGGCAGTGAGGTGTAAATGTTCCTCTGTGTCGAGTTTTTCACTGCAATTTTACTTTTCCTGAACGCTTCCGGGATGTACAAGTGGCTCAAATTCGCTCATTTTGAGGCAGCAACCGGCGGACGTGCAACAACTTTAACTATGAGGTAAACACAAAACAAAACTTTCCATCCGGAGCTCCTTCATGGGACTCCACACTTGTACACAATCGCTCGCGCCATTCCCGCGGCTCTCCGTCCCGTCCAGACTCGTCAGCGCTACCAAGCCGACCAATCACAGAGCTTGCGCTACGTGTCGTTGCGACATGTAGTTACAATTTTTCAGAGGTGCACGTCAGCCATGCCGACGGCCACGGCGAAGGGCTATGCGTCAGCGCCGTAGCATACGCCGGCGTTTGACGCAGAAGTATAAATCAGCCTTTACTGAAACAGGCCCCCGGAGCTTCTTCACAGGACTCCACACTTGTAAACAAACGCTCCATCAGGCTTGTTCGGCTCTCGGTCCCGCCCAGACTCGTCAGCACTACTAAGCCGACCAATCACAGAGCTTGCATAACGCATCGTTGCGACGTGTACTTAAATTTTTTGAGAGGTGCGCGTCAGCAACGCCGATTGCCACGGCGTAGGGCTATGCATCAACGCCTAGGCTGCGGCATAGCAAACACGTGCGCTTGACGCAGAAGTATAAACCAGCCTTTAGTGTCCCACCAGTGCCGATATACAGACACATTGGTTTGCTACTATTGTGATATTGCGTTTTTACAACAGATTGACGGCATAATCGATTATATAAAACAGAAAATCGAACACAGAGTCTCAAAAACCCGTTTTTTATAAGGAACTACATTCTTCAACCTTTCATTCACATCTGCAGCTGACGTCAGAACAGCAGAAACCACTGCTACTTTACCAACATCACTTTGGAGCTAGTGTTTGAATGATTCTCTAGCGTAATGACAAAACAGGTGATTTTGCTCACATTTTAAGATTATAAGGCTAGAGGGTGTGAAATGCCATCAGTCTACAAAGATGTCCCAGTATTATTCTGTTGCAATCGGGAGATCACAATAACTAACCCTGAAAAAGCCAAAGCAAAGCAAACACTAGCAGTTTATTATGAATACAGCACCACAACATACAATAGAGAGATCGAATTAGAATGTCACTTACCTGGTTTATAATGATTTGATCAGCTGTAGTTTGAAATTTACGCTGAGTTTTTCCTCCCCTAAGGGCTTCTTATGCAGTCTCTGTCGCCATCTTGTGAAAGAACGTCAACCCTCTTTGCTGTGCTCGGTATGACAGGCTGATGGCTGCCCACATGTTGAATCTCAGAAATTATAAATATTCAAAATAGGCACTTTCCTTATTAATAAACTGTATAATAGCAATCTAAACAACTACAATCTCCTCTAAAAAAAGCCTCAAAAGCACAATATGTTGTCCATCAGCTGCAATATTTGTCAAATTGTCTGCTGTCAAACTACGTGGGCGGAGTAATATCCAAATTACTCAAAAAGAAACAAATATAATAGGGAATACTATAAAAATGCCCTTGTTCCATTAAACATCATAGAGGATGCAGTCCTCTAAGCTCATGATGGAGTCAGACATAATATTCATTCTTTCTCCACTGCAGCATGACTTTATCTTCTATACTGGGCATTATTTCTGTTCAGGGATGAGACTTTTGCCTAAGCAAAGTCAGACCTTACTGTCCTAATGAAATCATTCAAAATCAAGGTATGATCATATTTTATTGTGCTCAAATAAGCGTCATCTAGAGGCCTTCTGATACCAAATCATCAACTAGAATTCAACTTATTAATTATTGCTCCTAACACTTGGATAAGCCACAAGACTTTTGTCAGGTAGTGTATGTGTATGTATGTATATATATATATATATATATATATATATATATATATATATATATATATATATATATATATATATATATAGTAGTTACATGTGTGTGAATTTTTTAATTGCACCATAGTTTCTGATTTAATAATGTCATTTACAGGTGTTTGAATTCTTCTTCACTTTGTAAAGATTCAGTACTTCTTACTTTGGTACTACCTCTTTATTATTATTATTATTATGCTTTAAGGAAAATGAATACTGCTGTCTTACAGTACACCGTAAAGGGGCTACAAGCCTAACAACACCCTGTGTCCATGTTAAAAAATCACTGCAATCACCTTGAGTGGATTATTGCTTTAATAAAACACACACTGTACCTTCGGGCTTAGTTTTAATTGCCTGTTTATTTGAGGTCTCAACTTTAAACTCTTAAAGTTCAACATTTTAAACAGCAAATTGTTAGTCACACACATACACACACACACACACACGCGACAATTAATTTCACACCCTTAGAAAAGGACAAAAGACAGCGGATTACGTTAATACAGTATTGTTTTTATTCATTTGTATGGCGTTGATGAATATAACTAAAAACAAGAGTTGCATTTATGCCAAGGCTGACAAACGAAACCTCGAGTGAATCCAAAACCCAGACCTGGGATAATTCAAGCATCTGAACAGTTTTCTGGAAACCCTACAGTGGAAATCTCACAGCCGCACCGAGCCGTTTCGCAGAGCGTGTGAAAGGGTGGTTATGTGTGGTTAGGTTTTGGAATGGGAAATATGGATACAATAGAACGTATATTTATGTATATATATTACACACAGCATGGTTCATAAATTCGAGAGCATCGTTGTCCTTGGGTTCCCGCTTTCTCTTTTGTCTTTTTTTGCGATAGCCCTTTCTCAACGGTGGTTTATTTAGGGCCATCTATGAAGCATGACATAGGATACCTCGCTGAACCGCCCCGAGATGTTTTGCATAGACGCCGAGTTAAATTCATGCAAATGATTATGGGACAGACGTTTGAAGAGATCTAAACGAATCAAAAAGAACAACAACAACAAAAGAAAAACCACGAGTCAAGGTTACGCTAAATCTACCACGTGGATGAATCATGTGAGTGGTCACATTCAGTTTTTAGCTTTCTAGGTTTAGAAAAATAAGTGAGATTATTTCTATATTTAGAAAAATGAAAAGAAAAACTATAATCAGTCCACGAAGTATACTCTGTGATCGAGCATAATGATTAACGTAGCTACACTTGAAGCATGTTTACATGTAGGTCTTATATATATATGTGTGTGTGTGTGTATTTTAGTACTTTCAATCAATATTGCTCTTCTGCAACACCTCTAAAACCTACGTGTCCAACCCAGACTCATTCTGAAAACGTAACTTTGTATAAATTTCTGGAGGCTGCGAAATACGTCCCAGTAGCGATGTTTTTTTGCAGTTTTTCTTTTCATCAATCCACCAGAGGCCGCTGTGTATGTTTTTTTTGACATCTCAAATTTCTTTTGCGAGTGCCATTCACGCCTGCTGTTCTCACATAAGTCCACCAGAGGCCGCTGTTGACCAACTGTTCCACTGACTGACTGAATGACCGACCAATCGACTGACCCACACTCCAACCAACAATTTTCGAAAGCAGAAAAAGAAAAGCCCTCGTCTGATTTATTTATTTTTTAAATTCCCAGGTTCTGCAGGTTGCAAATTTTGCTTGCCTATCTTAAGCCAATTGCAATGTATTGTTTTGGTACAAAACCCCAACCAGCGCAGAGTTCTCACCCTGTTATTCTCACCCTGTTATTACTTGTTTAATTTATTTTTTGGCTTCTGTTTTTGTTTTACCTGCTTACTGGAACTGCTCTTCACCAGACTCGAACCCTGTCGTCGTGGTCAACTCCTCCCTACATCTCAAGTCCGCCGACCCACATGACGAGCTACTGGGACAAACTGGTTACAGTGGGAAAGCCGTCCATACGGAGGTAAGCAATCAGATGGTAAACGCAAAACGAATTGGCGTCATGCCGCCTCATAGCGTTCATTTAAAAAATGAAATACTTCTGGCTACACAATTTGCGGTCTCCTGAAATGTATATAGGACTACGCTTTCAGAATGAGCCTATGTTGTATGTGTCTTTGCTAGTGTGAGGGGCCAAGTCAACATGCAGCATTAGTCTCCAACATGGGCAGTCACCATGCATAGTAGTCATTTTATGCCATTAGAAATGGTGAAAGAAACCCCCCTGAAACAGCATTCGTCCGAACTCGGCTGTTGATAGCCAGGCTATGTTTAGATATTCATCCCAGAATTCATCATGGCACGCAAGTACAGAAACTTGGCTACGTAACTATCGTCTTTTTCACGTAACCCATGATTGAATGGAAGAAATTATTATTTTTGTAGTCATATTTATATATATACCTGCAGCTGTTACTGAAAACATTGACTTTAAAAGAAACACTCTGCACAATAAATAAAATAAATAACATTTCATAACCAATGTGAACCAAACGTAGAAATGTAACGCAAACAAAAGGTTTAGATCTGTCATGTTGAAAAACATCATCATCTTTTTTTTTTGTTTGTTTAGTTTTAATACATCGTTTAAAGATTTCTAAAAAAATCAAGGAAGTCGTATACAGAAGCATTCACAGACATCGTTGTATAAAAGCTGATACGTAAGAGATTAGCATCAGTCAACAGTGTTCTACGTTATATAAACTCTTTGCGGGAATAATTCGTTAATATCAATAAATAAGAGCAGAACAATAAACGTGTGTGTGTGTGTGTGTGTGTGTGTGTGTATGTGTGTGTAAAGAAGATTTGGGGAAAGATTAGGAATATAGTCTATGGCTTTAGCGGCTACCTCAGCCAAAACACAAAAGGTTAAATTTGATGCCGTTTTCCAGAACAAGCTACGAAACCGAATAAAGAAAACAAACTGGTTCTGTCTGCTTCTACACAGCTACATGAGGCTAGAAGAGAAGAAGAACCCTCAAAAGTATTCCTCTCCGGCATTTTGTCTCAAAGGAGGTGTTGGGTGGTTCCTCTCAGTAGGGCGCAAACTTCTGCCGCTCCGGTTTTTTGATGCCGTTGGCCGAGGAGATCTTGGCGGTGTAGGAGGCCAGGGAGCCGTGAGCTGGGGCAGCGGCAGCGGCGGCGGCAGCAGCGGCGGCAGTGGCAGCGGGGGCCGACAGCGCCAGGAAGGGGACAGATTTGATTCCCAGGAGGCTGGAGAGGGGGAGGGTATAGGGGGCGCCCAAGATTGGAGCGTGGGGCAGGCCGCCCATCGCTGCCAGGGCTGCGGCAGAGGACGATGCAGGGGGAGCAGTCTGGGTGAAGCTCATGTTGAGGTCTACAGGGGTCGACATGGAGGAGGACTGGGCAGTGGATTTGGCGGTCTCTAAACTGTACGGGGGAGGGAAGGAGGTGGAGGAGAGGAGGGTGGAGGGACAAGGGAGGAGCCGGATGGAGAAGGGTTAGAAGGTTAAATAAAAGACATGTTAAACCAAAAAATCGAGAGAAACAAAAACAAAAGAGTCAAAAGAAAAAGAAGAAACCAAAAAATCATAAGAGAGGTGTGTTTTGCTGGTGGTTGCAACAGATTATTTGAGGGGGGACCTTGGCACTCATGGGAAAGGAGCTGTTTAATTCAGGGTGATGGCTTGGGTAGGGGCTTTGGGGAAAAGAGACACAATGATTTCAATTTCAGCAGCATTTCCTTTAGCGTTTTTGTTGTTCTTATCAAGTCGCATTTGTCAGAATGGTACTCATTGCAAATGCATGTAATGACATGTGCTATTGATGTGTTTTTGAGGGCGTACGATTGATTTTCATGTAAACAAGGGGGTGTGTTCAATATGCAGAACGTTCTGATGCAATGCATTGAAATGAGACGTCTGTCTAGCAGGAAGTATTGTTCAGGGGTGACAATGATTGGGAGGTGACGTCTCTAGAATCATCCAGGACATAAATAATCATGTTTGATTTTCAGTGGCTTGACTCATTAACCCTTTCACATGTCAGCCTAAAATATTTCATCTGCATTTGGGTTTTTTTAAATCACTTTAAAGATTCCACATGATCCAATCCAGCTCCTATAATTAACTTTTTTATTGTGTTTTTTTTTTCTGTCTGCACATATCCACAAACATCCTGATTATGTTGTAAATATTGGATATTCCGAATCTCAAATACATATAAGAACATTGTGCTGGAACAAGCCGGATCTGGCACCTCATTTTACCGATCCCCCTCCTCACATGTACACCCTCTTTCCCCGCTCTTCACTTTCTTCCGTGACTTCCAAACCCTCTTTACTTACGTCCATGATACCCAATAGCTCCCCCTTCCGCCCTTCACTTTCATCCGTGCCACGTCTTCTAAATTTTATAGTGATCTGGTAACATGCCGGATCTGTTACTCTGATCTGTTCCGGGACCTCGCAATTTACAAATTAAGCACTGATTACATCATTTACACAGCTTAATAACGATCATATTATAATACACATTATGATGGGAGACACTATCTTAGTCTGCAGTGGAGAGATTACAGCTGCTGGATTTACAACATGATAATTCATCAACGTCTCCCAGAATACTTGAAACCAAGGGTCGGTTTAACTGGGAGAGGAATAGAGTAATTATTCTCGTAACCAAAACAGTGCTCATGTTTTGCTAGTGCTCGTGTGTATTTGCAGCCGGATGTCAAAAGTTTTAATGGCTATTTGTACAAATTCAAATATATGATTTTTAAAAGTAGGCATGGCATCAAACCCCATCTGTAACCCCAACCATCATTATGGAATTAGCAAATCATACTAAATTGTACGAATGAAATTCATACGAATTAGCTACTAAATCAAGAAATGTCGCGAGATGTTGCTGGGGTGAACTGTCTGAACCCTAAAATAAATGTTTGAAAACAATGATTTTTTATTTATGATAATAACAGCATGACTGTTTCTACACCTAAGCGAAGGCGAGATTTAAACCCAACACTATTGAATACACAAGACATTTCACTCGTTTAGTTTTGATTATTATGAAAATAAAAACATTTTAGATTTTGTAATCTGTATGAAATTAACTCGAGGTACAGTCCGTCCTGTCAAAAGCCGATTACATGACAGCAACTACTCAAACGCCCACAAACTTGAAAACGATTCACTATCAAGATCAAGTTGTGGATTGTTTCAGAAGAGCAGCACAATCTGACCATTATTATTCAGAGGATGATCATGTGTAGAATGGCCATGAATGAGACTGGTGTCATGATCTTTTCAAGTGCGTATGCGCATTAGCTCATGCAACCTGAAAATATGTAGTTTTTGTTTGATTCAAATGTTTAGAAACTAAACTTATGAGACGGTTGTTGTTTAATTTTATTGGTGATTTCAAATATGTAATGTACTCGTAAGCTTTGTAAACAGTTTTGAAGAATTTGATGTTTCCCCACTCAGACATAATGCCCGAGCATACTGCCCGAAAGGCATGTCAAAAATGGCTGCTGAGTGAAATGACTTGCCTTCAAGTGACTGTTTAAATTTAGTAGTCGATGATACGCTTTGAACTTTCTTATCACACCGGTGTGATTGTACGAAATATATCCACATAAAGCTTGGAATCTTTCATTCTAAATTAAGCAATTACACTTGAAAACAAAAGTTCTCTGGTTTTGTAATCTTTATGAAACGAACGCGACAGTCCGTCCTGTCAAACGCACATCACATGACAGAAACTACTTAAACGCTCATAAATTTATAAACAAAGAGTCACTGTCATTTCTGGAGGAGATTCGCCATCAAGACAAAGTTGTGAATTACTTTAGAAGAGCAGCGTGGTCAGACGAAGCATTAGAACGGCCATAAATGAGGTTGGTGTCATGATCTTTTCCTTTTCGAGTGGGCATTAGCTCAGGCAACCTGAAAATACACAGATTTTATTTGATTCAAACGTTTAGAGATGAAACCTATGAGATAGTTGTTGTTTAATTTTTTTGGTGATTCCAAATATCCAATGCAATCGTAAGCTTCGTAAACAGGTTTGGAGAATTTGATGTTTCCCCATTCAGACATAATGCTCGAGCATACTGCCCGAAAGGCATGTCAAAGATGGCTGCCGAGTGAATTGACTTGCCTTCAAGTGACTTTGTTTATTCTTAGCAGTTGATGACATACGCTTTGAACTTTCTTATCACACCGGTGTGATTGTACGAAAAATATCCACATAAAGCTTGAAATCTTTACTTTTAAATGAACCAATTACACTTAAAAACAAAAGTTATGTGGTTTTGTAATGAAATATTTTTTGTATAAAACAAACGCGAAGTACAGTCCGTCCTGTCAAACGCACATCACATGACAGAAACTACTCGAATGCTCATAAATTTGTAAACAAAGAGTCACTGTCATTTCTGGAGGAGATTCACCATCAAGACCAAGTTGTGAATTACTTCAGAAGAACAGCGTGATCAGACGAAGCATTAGAACGGCCATAAATGAGGTTGGTGTCGTGATCTTGTTCTTTTCGAGTGCGCATTAGCTCGGGCAACCTGAAAATACACAGATTTTGTTTGATTTGAACGTTTAGAAATGAATCTTATGAGACAGTTGTTTAATTTTATTGGTGATTCCAAATATGCAATTTAATCGTAAGGTTTGTAAACAGTTTTGGAGAATTTGATGTTTCCCCATTCAGACATAATGCTCGAGCATACTGCCCGAGAGGCATGTCAAAGATGAAGTGAAATTACTTGCCTTCAGGTGACTTTGTTTATTCTTAGCAGTTGATGACATACCCTTTGAACTTTCTTATCACACCGGTGTGATTGTATGAAATATATCCACACAAAGCTTGAAATCTCTTCTTTTAAATAACCAATTACACTTGAAAACAAAAGTTCTCTGGATTTGTAATCGTACGAAACGAACGCGAGGTACAGTCCGTCCTGTCAATCGCACATCACATGACAGAAACTACTCTAAAAAATTTGTAATCAAAAAGTCGATGTCATTTATGGAGGAGATTCGCCATCAAGACCAGGTTGTGAATTACTTCAGAAGAACATCGTGATCAGACGAAGCATTAGAACGGCCATAAATGAGGTTGGTGTCGTGATGTTGTTCTTTTCGAGTGCGCATTAGCTCGGGCAACCTGAAAATACACAGATTTTGTTTGATTCGACAGTTGTTGTTTAATTTTTTTAATGATTCTAAATATGTAATGTAATTGTAAGCTTCGTAAACAGTTTTGGAGAATTTGATGTTTCCCCATTTAGACAGAATGCCCGAGTCAAAGATGGTCGCCCAGGGAAATGAATTTGTTTAAATTTAGCAGTTGATGACATGCGCTTTGAACTTTCTTATCACACTGGTGTGATTATACGTGTGAAAGGGTTAAGGAAATAATCTGATGCTGGAGTGCCTTGGGTTGCTCTGGGATTGCGTTTAGCATTTTGTTGCCATGTCTTGGCAAAAAATCAAACTTATATGTAATTCAACTAATGAGAAACCACTAAAAATCAATAATATTAAGGCAGAAGCAAAAAAAAAACAACAACACAAAAAACGTTTCCAAAATATCGTAAAAACCAACAGAGTAGTTATCCATGCAGGGAGCCTGAGTGAGCTCTATCAAGTCAAGTAATGAGGGGCTTCTCTGAGTTTGACATTCTGCACCGGTCTGCTTGTTGAACACACCTGAGACAAGCATAAATATTTCATTCAAGACCCAATTATTGCACTCTTGTAGACTTGCTGACTCATAACACGCTAGAAGAATTGATATATAACTTTGAACATGACACTGCATCTGTTAGACATGCTAATTTCTTCGCCAGCCAGGGAAAAGCGAAAAAACTGAAGCTGCTCATTTGGAGCGGCGTCTAATTATGTTTTCTCGTTATTATTTGTTAATGAATATGCGTTGGTCCACAGTATAAGTACTAATTGTTTCATATTATGCTCTATTATTTATAAGAGAACAATTTTAAACGTCATTATGGTGATGCAGAAAGAAACGCTATTGGATAACTGCATGATGAAAAAGTTGTACTCCAGAAAGTATAACGTTTACATTTTGCATTTTATTTAGCAATATTTTTTTTTTTTTGCTGAACCTGTAATTATTAAATAATAGTGTTTTATATTTTATTCATATTTATTTTATATCTCTGCATTTTTAATCAAGCATTTGCTCTGAAGTTAAGTAAATAAATAGAAATAAAATATCATTTGAATGAACTTTATTTTTACAGTAAGGATTATATATACTGTGATATATATAACGGCCACTGTATTAGGTACACCCGTCCAATTCATTGGTAACGCAAATGTCTAATCAGCCAATCACATGGCAGCAACTCAATGCATTTAGGCATGTAGACAAGGTCAAGACAATCTGCTGCAGTTTAAAGCGAGCATCAGAATGAGAAAGAAAGGGGGTTTAAGTGACTTTAAATGTGGCATGGTTGTTGGTGCAAGACGGGCTGCTTTATTTCAGAAACTGCTGATCTACTGGGTTTTTCACGCACTACCATCACTAGGGTTTACAGAGAATAAGCCGACAAAGAGGAAATATTCAGTGAGCGGCAGTTCTGTGGGCGCAAATGCCTTGTGGATACTAGAGGTCAGAGGAGCATCTCTGATGACAATGAGTTCACTGTACTCAAATGGGCTCCACAGTCACCAGATCTCAATCCAATAGAGCACTTTTGGGACATTTGGGATGTGGTGGAACGGGAGATTGGATGGCATAATCTGCAGCAACAGCATGATGCTATCATGTTAATATTTCCAGTAGCTTGTTGAATCTCTGCCATGAAGGATTAAGGCAGTTCTACAGGCAAAAGGTTCTAGTGAGGTGTACCTAATAAAGTGGCCGGTAAGTGTAAAACATCCATAAATTAGCAGTTTTCCATATTTTGTTGTTCAGGTTTTTATTTTTTTATCTATTTATGTTTTTGAACCTTGAAAACTTTGAAGAAGTGACTTTCATTATTGTTTTAATAGTGTACAGTGCTATATTGTCTGTGTTGGTGTTGTGCATTACGCTACAAACACCTTATAAACTGCAGCACATTTACTGTTATTTTACAGACTTATTTCGCTATATATTTTTTATTATACATTATATTACTTCAAACTACTAAAATATCAATGAAAGTCACCCATAATGCAATTCACCACCATAAATAAATAAAAAAGACTTAATTAATAGATTTTTTTAATGGTGTATATCTATTTGCCATATCGCACAGCCCTACTTTAATTGTTTGGTATTGTTGCATGAAAAGAACTATAAAATCTTCGAATGGTTTGGATTTATTACAAGTGTTTAGCAAACTGTTCATTAAGTTAATAGAGCTGACTTTACAAGTACGCGGCGATCGTTTTCCGTAGACTGCGTGAAGAACAGAACTATTAATTTTCCTACATTAGCAAATGAAATTTTGTGTTGACTAAGAAGAGCTGTCGGGAATTTAAAGCTTTCTTGCCTGACACAACATTTGATCAGATTGCAGCCGCATAGATCTCGCGGGAGAAAATTACAGTCTGTCTATGAGGCAGCCAAAAATGCTCTGCCTTTAAGCTCTAACAAGCTTCTGGCTTGAAACTTGGCCAATTAATCCCTCAGCCTGGCTTCTTTCCGCCACATCTTCCTGCTTTGTAGTTGTGCCTTTGCTCAAGAGTGCTCTTTTTGTTTTTGGGTCTGCAAACTGTGGACTGAAGAGACCCCTGACTCAATATTCTCAGAGGTTTTGTCAACTTCAAGGTCCTCTACAGATTTGTGATGTACAATATGCCACATAAACACATGGAGTGGGTCAAGTGCAAACGCTCGGAATCTGTTATGATGGGATGGCGTCCAGTGCTTACCAGGATGTGATTAGATACTGGGCCAAGTTGATGCTGATTGGGGAGCCTGTGATGGTGACGTGTCGGTCACTAGTGCTGTCCAGCTGACTGCCGATCTTGATCTGAGCCCCGGAAACTTGGCGGATCTCGTTGATTTTTGTACCCTGTCTGCCGATTATTGAACCAATCAGCTGTAGGGAAAGCGCAAAACAATCAGATTAATAAATATGCTTCTGGGGAACACAAGTACAGTCAGGGATTCTTGGAAATTTCTAAACATCCAAATTAACTACTCAGCAGACACAGGAGGTCGACATGACATCCCATTAACATTGTACCCCAATGTCGTGGGACATTACATTTTGTTTGGAAAGAAAATCAGGTTGACGCAAGTGTGCCGCAAGCCTACGTTTGAGTGAAGGTTTCGGCCGTTAGATCGCCCCCTGGGGGCTGGCTGCAGTACAAGTCATAAAGCCCGCCTCCTCCGTGTTAATGAAGGAAACTTGAGCCCAAATAAAAAAAATATTACACTTGCAATAAAATGTCCCGAAAGATAGTTCTGGTCGATTAAGGCACTGGTTATTGTGCTGAAATAGGTGCAGATCTTCATTTTTGTAAACAGTTTGTTTTTAGCAGTAATTTAATGCTGGGCGTGTCATCGTGATTGACAGCTGTGATTGACAGTTTCTCAAAGCGCGGCGTCTGAGTTTCGGCAGGAGACTGAAGTAGACTGAAATGTTATTATTCGATTTCTGTGTTATTTTACCATGACAAAATGAGTTCAGCAGTAAACTATAGTTTCTGACATACATGATCCTGGTGGAACACTGTTTATTCGCTAAGTTCAGGGCTTTTTTCGGGCTTTATTAGTTTGCTGATACACGCCTAGCCACCCAGATAGCAAAACACAGTTCCGGCTAGATTCTCGCCTGCCGGAGACTTATCTCTAAGAGCTCAGACTGACTAATGTTACCTCTGCTGGACCTACTCCGGATGCCTGGACTCACTACCCAATTCCAGCCCGAGTCAATCGAGCCAGATGCGGCGGCCGAGCGAGCAGGCGCTGCCGCATGCGAGCCGGAATCAGCCCGCGACGCCGCGAGTAAGTCATGCGCTGCGGCCTGGAGCTGGCGCGATTGAATATATAAAACCCTCATATTTGTTAACGTTATTACATCCATTTGTGTTGATATAACAGCAAACGCATGCTGAGAAGTTCGGGGGGCGTAGTTGATTTTACATAAAGCGTTTGGTTGGAAGCTCGACTCTGCTCATTTTCGCGGCTCCTCCTCTGGCTCCATCAGACAATCCTTCTGCGCATGTCTGGCTCCAATTTCAGCAGTCTTTTGCGACAGTTTGTGCCCGTCAAGCAGGCGTTTTGAGGGCTGCCGCGTCGTCCATATTTTTTACAGTCATTGGGTTGACGTCAGAACTCAACGCCAGGCAATGTCCGACGTCGGATGGATGTGGCATTAAGGTCACTTTCAGGGTTGCCAGATTTGGCAATTTTGAATTTGATTGTGTGGGTAAAAAGGGCATGGGTGGGTTGACAAAATTTAGGCGGTTTTGAAACTTAACTTTTATATGCAACTTACTAAACAAAACACATCTGAAACACAACCAGTGCATAGCACAAACCATGCAAATAGTTCTGCTGATCCAGGCGGTCAGTTTAAACCAACAACAGGTGGGAAACTAATTCATCTTAGTGTGGCAGCGTCAGCATGCAGCGGACATATGCCAATATTCCAAAATACAAGATATCAAGACAACATTGTGGGTATTTAAAAAACCAAAACATGAATATTATTAATTATTGAAACTTTAGAGTGCTATTTAAGAATATTCTGTTTGTTGTATTCACTCAAAAATGTATATTTGTGTTACTTGTTAACCTCTTAAGGCCCAATGTGTTTTTTACATGTGTTTTTTATTTCTCTTTGCTATTTGGGTTTATTGAAACCTAATTAGAATAAAAACCTAAGTATCTTCTTTTGATATGATTTACTTTTAAAGAAAAATGATGTCCATATATGTGGACTTGTGTCGCGAATTTACATAAAACACTTTTTTTTCTATCTGTTTTTAATGCATATATAACATAGATTTGTTTTAACATGTTTTGACTATCAGAGAGTAAAAACAACAATCTTTTCCCATTTTGGACAGTTAAAAATTGGGTATGGGACATTTCATATGCTGCAAAACAGTTGCAGGATGACACTGCATGTCTGTAACATTTAAAACATTCAAAGTTTTTTTAATAGCCACTTAAGGATAAAATGTGCTGTCCACAAATGTGGCCACCAAGCCCTAGGGGTTTAAACTACTTATTTAAAATGACCTGAAACAACACATTTTTTTTTTTTTGCATTTTTGGGGACAACTTAATTGTTTTATGTTCAATTACCTTAAAATTGTAAAAAAAAACACAAAAAAAAAAAAACACATTAGGTTAACTTAATCGATTTGTGTTGGGATGACATGAAGAAACTGTGTGGAACCCAGCAATTTCAGTGTTGGCAGTGCAGTGCAACTTTTTAAAGATACAAGTTGCAAACTATTTACATAGGCTAAATTTAAACAAATTACTGTGCGTTTACACCGAAGGCAGTGCGCAACATTTTGAGAGCGTCAAAAGTGGCAACAAAGCAACCGTGAGCTCCGGCGGCGAGAGCATCAAAATTTGCTACATTGATCTTGTATTTAAAGGAGCCGTTGCAGCATATCATAGCAGGTACATTCACACATAAAACATGCTCTCTAGCGTGAAAATGTTGCACAATTTGGTCACACTTTACAATAAGGTTCATTAGTTAATGTTAATTAATGCATTTACTAACATGAACAAATTATGAACAATACATTTACCACTGTATTTGTTCATATTAGTTAACGTTAGTTGATGAAAATACAGTAGTTCATTGTTAGTTCATGTTAACTCATGGTGCATTAACTAATGTTAACAAGCATGGACTTGGTTGTTAATAATGCATTAGTAAATGTTCAGTTATGATTAATAAATGCTGTACATGTGTTGTTCATGATTAGTTCATGTTAGTAAATGCATTAACTAATGAACCTTTTTGTAAAGTATTACCTATTTTTATCAAATTAGTTTAACAATGGATCTTAGTCTCCTCCTTTGGTAGCAGAGCTCAGGTTATCACCTGCTTAGCCACTAATGTTGTGGTCTCACAACACCTTGTGAGGTGCTTCATTAGATTAGAGTTACTTGTCTTTGTTAGCACGCATCAAGGTGGTGTTTCCTTATTTTTACAGGAATAATCTGCGAATATTAATGTAAAATTACGCGTTACTTAATACAAAAATTTCCTTTAAAAAAAAAGTACAAAACCGTAATGCCAAAATACAAGCAATAACTGTGAATTTAATGTTAGACTTTTTTTTACAGAACATATGTTGAAAACAAAAGCTATTTTACTGTATAATGAAAACACTGGAAAATTCTGCAAAGAAAATTACCTGTAAAATAATGTTTATTTTTTACAGTGCATCGCCAGTGTGAAAGTAATTTTTGGTTATTATACCTTTTATGTTTAAATTGTTTATTATGAATAAACAAACACTACATCAAGATAGTTACATATCATTATCTTTTTCTTTTTTTACAAAAGAGATATATAATAAATAATAATAATAATAACTATATATATATATATATATATATATATATATATATATATATATATATATATATATATATATATATATATATATAATAAAAAAGAGAAATATTAATACAAATAATAATAATAATGATAATAATAAAAGAGGAAAAGAAAAATGGAAACAAGAGTAATGAGTGTACAGAGAATTAAACCAAATATCACAATCAAATGTTCAGATACATTGTCAATGTTGAAATAAAATATTTACAATTAAACAGTATAAAATAGCATTAGATAAAACAAACAAATTAAATTACTACGAAATAAATTAAAAAGGGAAGGAGAGTGCATCTATTAAATGGAAGGCAATACCTTAAGAGAGTTAAAGTAAGTTATAAAACATGTTATTATACCTTTTATAGTAATTTTTTTCAGCTTAGGTCAATATCGTGATAATATATTGCATACCGTGATAAAAACTTGAGCAATTAATCAAAAAAGAAAAAGCCTAGAAAGCCCAGTGTGCAGCAAACCAAAAGTCACAGCATGAACTCAAATGACCCAAGCAGCTACTACACCTCGTGTGGACGGTGTCCACATCTTAAAGGATCCAGGGGGTTGGGTGACCTTATGGGTTTGTTGTCACGCCTGGACACTGATAAAGTGAAGTGACACCTACTGAGACGACTTGACTTGACTGTTTATCATTCAAATGACTGGCAGCTTGTCTTTTGTCATCCTCTGCATCCCAGCCCCCACCCCTCACTTTGAGTTGGATTATGTGGGCAAGAATTGCTCCACAAAGCATTCCTTTCCTCACGAGTCATACGGACGTCAAAGCTCCTGATTTGTCACAGCGCTCTCTCCCTGGTGCCCGGCGGCTATTAATGGCTCAGCTGATTGTGGCTAAGTGCTCGTATACCGCCAGGTCTCGCTGCCACCCTGACGTAGAAGATTCCGGCGAGCACTGCGCCACATATGACATCCTTCGTTTTTAAAAAACCTCTTTCAATTATCCGTCCTTAAGAAGCGAAGCGTTAGACTCCCACACAACCTCCTCCAACATTCAACAACACAACTCAAAACTTTGGTTCGCTCTGTTTTATCGATTTCTTTCTTTCTTTCCACTGGAATCAAGCCTCAAGCTATGGGTCAGATCTGTCCAATGCAAGAGACAGGTACATGCTCCCAATCCGAGCTGGAGATGGCTCTATTTTAGGCGAATCTTCTTCTTTAGGCTTTAAATCTGAAATCTGGGAAGCGAGGACACATCTCCTGCCAGCGGAGCTGAGCAATTAGTTTCTAGATACTGTCACGTAATTAGCTACATTACAATATTACTTGCTCTGAGAATCTGAATGCCTTACACTGCTTTTAAGTTCATTCAGTTATTCGTTTTACTGCAGATAAGTCTCTATTTCCGTGGTCACCACAGTGGAATGAACCGCCAACTATTCCGGCAAATGTTTTACTCAATGGATGTCCTTCCAGCAGCAACCCAGTACTGGCAGACACCCATACACACTCATTCGCACACACACTCATACATTCCTTCATTC